CGAGAGATTTCGGAATGGAAAACTTTGAATATTTGTTACCGACGTGCTCGGTAGGCGGCGGCACGCGCTACAAGTACGGCGTGGCCAAGGTCTACGCGGTGGGATTGTACGTCGACGAGGCCTCCGTGGCCGGCGCGCTCAAGGCCTACGCCGACGTCGACGGCAAGGCCCTCGCCAAGGACGCGTCGTTCTACGCCGCGGTGGCGAAGGTTCCCGTCACCCTGCTCCTCAACTTCCACCGCTCCGTCGACGGCGCGACGATCGCGGGCGCGTTGAAGGACAGCCTCGCGAAGAAGCTCGACGCGGCGACGCTGGCGAGCTTCGAGGCGAGCCTGACCGGGGTGCTGAAGGACGGCGTCAAGCCCGACACGAAGCTCTACTTCGCGTGCGGCGGCGGCGACCTCGGCATCGGCCTCGGCGCGCCGGACGTCCGGGCGACGGCGCCCGGCGCCGCCTGCGGCGCGCTCATGGACGTCTACTACGGCGCGTCGCCCGTCTCCGCGCAGGCCAAGGAGGGCATGGCCCTCGGCTTCGCGAAGCTGTAGGCTCGAGGGCCGCGGTAACCATGAAGTTTATCCGGGGAGACCTCGGGGGCGACGTCGTCCTGGCGCGGCCGCTCGCGCGACTCCACGCGCGACAGCGCTGCGAGCCGTGCGAACATAAGAATCAGAGCGACCTTGGTGCGAGAGCCTTGAAGTACACCTTGAGGTCTCCTTGCGGGCAAAAGACCTCAAAAGGCGTCTCAAGAGGGTCATAAGTCGCCAAACATTGGCCGTGGCAAAACTTTTGAGCCCGCTATCCGCACGGGTGTGTCGCGCGCGAGAAACGAGCGCCTCACGACGCCCCAGCGGATTCCCCCTCTCATCGACGCCCGTCTCTCGGCGCAGATCGCATCAAGGGGGTCCTTGATCGCACATGGCCGTGACTCAAGAGCAGGTCGACCCTGGGGACTACTGGGCCGAGGCCTGGATGGACGCCGTCGTCGCCGGCGAGCCCTGGTGGCTCCGCGCGTCCATGAAGTGTAAGCTCTGGTGGGAGCAGGTCGAGGCCTTCCTCGCCTGGTTCATGGTCAAGCACGGCGCGCCGGCGGCGCGAGAACTCGGCGCCGCCGCGCAAGGCCTCCTCAAGGCCGTCGACGACGCGTCCGCGCCCCTCGCCGATCGCCTCGAGGCCGGCGCGGGCGGCCGCTTCTGCCTCGCGGCGCTCGCCTTCTGGTTCGTCGCGCCGACGGCGCGCTACCGCGCGAACGAGACCGAGGCGTTGGCGCTCGTGCTCTGGCTCTGGGCGCGGCGCGGCGCGGCCGTCGACGCGGGCCTGGCCAGGGCCGCCCTCGCCGAGGCGCGCGCGCTCCGCCGCGTCGCGGACCTCGCCTTCGACGGCGTCGCCGGCGACAAGAAGACGCGCGCGCTCCGCCTCGTGTCCCACGCGGCGAAGGACCTCAACGCGTCGCTGCTCGTCGGCGCGGCGCCGGGCCCGCTGCCGCTCCGGGGCCTCCACGCCTACGTCGGCCACGTCGCGGAGGCCGGCGCGATCCTCGCCGCCGCCGAGTCCGCGGAGGCCGCCGCGGCCGAGCGCGAGGCGCTGCTCCTCGATTCCCTCCCCCCTCCCCGTCGCGTCGCGCTCGTCGCCGCGCTCGTCGCGGCGACGCTGGTGGTGGACGTTGTGGGGTCCTACCCGAAGCTCGCGGCGGTGCTCGCCGCGGCCCTCGCGATCGTCGCCGACGCGCTCCACGGCCCGGGGCCCGCGAGGGACCGCGCGGCCCGCGAGAACGGCCTCCTCGTCGACGACCTCGACGGCTACCTCCGCGCCCACTAAGATTGCCGCCCTGGTCGCTCTCTCTCGCATGTGAGGCGAGTTACCTCGCGGGACCACTAGCCGCTGTGGAGTTTGCACTAGGAGTACGCGCTGGTGTCGCCGCCCGCGAGGAAGGGACTGCCGCAGACGAGCTCGATCCTCTCCCTAGCCAGCGGAGACCTCCGACGCCTCGTCCGAGC